GTTAGACGGACAGATCGCACGACCAGTGTATACCTTGCAGCTGGATATGAAACTGGCGCCGGTCCAGTTCAGCACGACGAGGACAGCTACGATCGCCAGCAACCTCATTTCTGCGTTTCACAGCGTACACTGCCGAACGAGTGTCAGCTGCTGCCGATGATTCTCCCGATGGCGAATCAGGGGAAAAACTGCACCGATTCACGCCACAGAGCATGTGTCGTCCAAAGATGCTATTGGCAGCTGTTTCGTGCAGCTTCTGCGCCGAGATTGCTGCTTCCATTGCCGACTGCGTGATTGACGGCTAGAAGTGATCGTTCCACGAAAAGTATGGCAGAATGTGTTTTCGAGTCATCAACGGCTGTCTGTGTCTGCCTGTCTCTGACAACATAACGGCGCCTTGCAGCTCTGGCTTTTTATGACGCCCATTTTTCTGAACGATAGACCACCTTTAGCATGAAAATATGGCATCAAAAGTAAATCGAGAATTTCTTTCGAAACCACTCAACGACGACAATGAATGAAGTCCCCGCGGCATACATCCAAATGGTTCGTTTGCTTGCTCTGATGCACAGGTGCTGTTTGATAATTCAGAAAGTTTTCAGAGCTTGTATGCAAACAGCCCCAAAGCTAAAGGCATCATGTTCGAAATAAAAACAGCCAAGTTAAATACATCTTTGGATCGGACGACTTTGAAATGGGTGATTATGCGAGTACTGGAAAGGGAGTGAATTTTGAGACTCGGTCGTTTTCACCGAAGTCATGCAACTTAATGTCAAAAATAAATGTTTAAATCACACTGTGGAAAAGTTGATGGGTACTGAAATCCACGTCCATCGTCTGAATCTGGGATCCGGGCTCCCTGCGGCAACCAATCTGATAAAAATTAGTGTTGCTGGACGCATTTTGGTCCGCTGCCACGTGGCACTCTATGTTTTTATGCCAATGTAGAGTTTGAAGCCGGTGATCGACAGTTTGAAAACGTGGCACCTTGGGTCCGACGGTCCCGGTGAATTTTATAAGTTTTTAAGACAGCGAAATCTCCTGAAAATTTTTACTGTTATTTATTGAAGAAATAAATGATCGGCTTTCAAGCGGTGCTGCGTAGCTTTCGCCAGACATTCTTAGCAGCGATCTATGCAGTTCTGTACGGAGTGGAGAAAATAGGACTGTCGTCAGGGGACAAGGAAGAGCTTTAGCTTCTCAGCGATGAAAACGGCAAAAAACAAGGTTATGATTAGGAACCTGAAGAAACAAACGAAGTGGACTGGACGATATTCCAGAAATGCGAAGCATACCTGTTCAGGCAAAACGAGAAAGAACTCCTGGAAAATACATTACTGTAGAACTCCTGGATTCTGGAGGTGAATTATTGACCAGGATATTAGCACGTTTGTTTTCAAACTGGCAAATGAACTACCGCATAGGTGATTGTCATCTTCAGAGGCAGAAGCTAAAAGAATTTGAGAAACTACAGATTGATCAGTCTGTTGCCAGTTATCTATGAAATCTTCGCCAAAGTCGTGAAAAATACATTCAATAAAGAGAGCACGCAACGCAGACAGTGGAGCAAGCAGGATCCAGAAATAAAATCCATTTACGTGATCGATAACCTTCAGGTGATATAAAAAATACTCATACAGACTACGAATATCAGTTTCTTCTTTGTCTTGAATGTGTAAATTTAAAGAAGCTTTTCGACTCACTCTACACTCGGTTTGTATTGGATTATTCAAAGAGACAAGGAACCGTGCAATGGTCCAGGGGTCTCATCCTAATGATCAATAAGATCGCAGCTGTTAGAGTGCAACTCTGCGAGGCACAAATCAATCAGTCGGTTTCGATTACCCCTAATCATTCCGGATTGGAGACGCAGACGCGTAAGACAGTGTTTCTAATGATGCAACTGTCCCAGCGCTAGTAGATGACCAGAGTATAGAACAGACTTATTCGAGACAGGCCACTGCTTCAGGTCATTCTTTGAGGTCCCGGGGTCTTCAGCTGGTCGGTTGAGAAAGTAGTAGCTGTTTCGTCTTCCTTTCTGGAAACATTCGCAAGAGGACCCAAATAATCATAGCGGCGACTTAGTCTGGAGAAGTAGCGGGAGTACAGATATCGACAGTACCCTGTCCAGACATGTAAGCCCAGCGACCCAGCGATTTGTCTCAGAAATCCCGCATCAGACGTTCAGACGCTTATACTCGACGTTTCTCAGTAATGGCAAATCACTCATGGCGATTCGTAAGCGTTTGGATGATGATCGACTTGAGCATCAAGAGCTTAGTTTTTAGAATCAGCTCTGCTTTAGTCACAACGGTTCACGCAAAGTGCCGCGGACATTCACATCCGATGTCTCGCTCCCATTTTCCATCACCAGCAAAGAGCACTCTGAAGTACCTGAACTTCTCCATCTGCTTCACTGCTCCTTCTTTCTGTGCAGAGCTCAAAGGGCAGGAGAACGAAAAAACACAAGCCTTTTGGTCCCAGATACGTTTACATGCATGCCAGCCACGTCGTGCCTGGCCGGGAACTTTCCAGAAAGCACTGGAGATTAGTTTCAGAAGATGCCAACAAAACAAGGTTGTTTGCAGACACAAGACGCTGGGTTTCTACTTCTCCTGCTTTGATGCACCCATCGCCCTGGCTGCACCTGACTATTTTATCCATGTACAACACAAACAGGAGAACGAGCAAAACGTGGCCTTGGCACAGACCAGTTCCAACACCGAAAGGGCTTCGACCTAATGCCATTTTCTCTGCCACAGCACCTGATAACACTATATAGCGCTTGGATGGAAAGTGGCACCTGGTCATCGATGCTATCTGTTGGCAGGTGCGCTTGCAACTTGTTGGATGGCATCTGGTAATGGGCCGTAGGCTCTCTTCAGGTCAACAGAGCACAAGTTAGCCGCATGATCGAACTTCCACGATTTCTCAATAATCTAGCGCAAGTTGAAAATCTGCTCATCGATGCCAAGTCCTGATATGAAGCTACACTGCTCTCCTTGAATCTGCAACAAACTATTCAGTGGTACCCCATTTCCAACACCTTTGCCATGACTTTTCCCTGGAGGCTCAGTAAGATAATTCGCCGATATTCGTAGCACTTCCTTTCATCTCCTTTCTTGAACAGGAATGCCATTGCCACATTACGGCATTCTCCCATGTTATGCCCGTGCTGTTACCCTTTTACGGATGCAAGTTGAAGAGGGCATTACTTGTTCCCCGTAAGCATTTAGAATCTCCGAACGGAATTCATCAATTCCAGCAGCCTGGCCACATTTCAAGCTTTCGTATTTTGTATGACCTCATCTAATGCAAGATTAATATTCGCTCTCTGATGCTATGTAGTCGATTGGCCTGGCGCTTGCTCAGAGCTGAGTTTTCATACAACTCCTGCCATCGCGGAACTATATTCTTCGCATTCGTAAGACAACGACCAGATTTGTAACCAGATTCTTAGACTGCTCTTCTTTCTCTGTTCGAGCAGCAGACGATCTGCAATATTATCTCGTTTTCCATTTAAAAATTCTATTCCTGAACTTCACTGAGCTTTTCCCCTTTCCCTGGATCAGCTTTCGATTTAGCCTCAGGTTTAGCCGCCGTTTCGTGTGCATCTCTGTAACGCATTGCAGCTGAAGACTCTGTTTCCAAGACATCTTTCGACTGCAGCTTTCTCCGTGACAGCCAGTTGTACTGTTGGTCTCCGCCAAGGAACCGGCTCCCGTTTCTGATCCCTCCTCCTCCCTCATTCATCAGTCCAACCTTTTTTAAACCAGACTCACTCACTGACTCCTGCTCGTTTCCAACGGTCGAAGTGAGATTTTCCACTCTCCAACGGTCGAACTGGTTCTCGTGGAACCGTATCTGACGTGCCATGATGGTACAGTGCTGTCTGTCTCCTCTTTGTTCAGAGTGGTGGCGACTGCGTTGCTGATTGATCTCATCATCAGCTTCGCAATGAGCCTCCGTGCGTCGTGATGCTTGTGCGTCTCCAGCTGCCAGAAGGCTAGAAACAGGGTTTGATCGCCGGCATGTCGCGATCTCTCTCGGTTCTCTAACATTGTGCATTATCCTTGCTAAATGGAACCATAGTCGAGCAGATATAATGCTTCGTGGAGCCAATATAAAGCAGACCTTCAGTGAGACCTCGCCGTGGTTTTCAGCCTCTCTCCCTTCCTATTTGGCTTTTACACCTGCAACGTGGCTAAAATTTCGTTCAGAAATGCTGATCTTCTGTCATGCACTTTATTGCGATTATTCTGTTTCATGATTCATCTCATGAAATTCACTATATCCTTGCATGATATTATTTTACCGATAGACTATTTTAGAACTCTTTACCAAACAATTAGTGGTATTCTCTCTGATTCGGTTGCAAAGTGAACCTCGTTAGTTAAAACCTGTGCTCTTGAAAGTTGCATATTGAAACGACGGTTTTTGTGTGTGCTTACAGTGAGTCGAATTGCCTTCTTTCCAAAGGCTTTGCGGATGTCATTAAGCCCTGGAGCACTAGAATTCAATGACTGATCGTTCTAACTACAGCAATAGCCTGAACTTGGTCTTAGAACGTATTGTTTCTCTGAAGGGCACTCTATCCACAAACTCGGACCAGAATACCGAAGGCCCCCGTGTTTGGGAATTCCTAAAGAAACATTTTCAATTCGTTTTATCTGCCAGCTAACACAGAAAAGGAGGCAGTTCGTGATCTAAGTAGAAACAGACCATAAGAGGTTCGATTTGTGAGGTAAAGGAAGAGATATTAAGGAACGTCATTCGCACAATTCGGATACTAAAGACCTCCGTTTGAATACGGACAATATTACTGTATTTTATTCCTGTCCTGCAATCACCGAGTTATTCAAAGAAGCAGAAGAAAAGCATTGAAGACACTCGCCGGGGAAAATCAGGGGCTGGGCATTAACGGGAACTATTTAAACTATGTGCGGTCTGCGGTTAATATTTTGATCCTCTCAAGGTTACCACAAGAACTCAAATGAAAAATCTAAAAACTGGACGATGCCACAATCAAACCTGGACTGAAAGTGATCATGAAGAAGATTTAGATCATCTTCAACAAATACGTGGTCGTGCGATCTAGAACTTATGCTTGAAGAAGTACAAAACAATCTATGCAACAGAAAGATAAAATGTGATGCAACACTTTTAGAAGATTAAAAACGTTTTTATGGAGGAAACTGCCTGCGTGCTTGAAGCGGAAAGTATTCCATCAATGTGAGCATCCAGTAATGACTTATTAACGCCAAACTTGGACTATAAACTTTAAAGATATTCATAACTTGCAGATTACGAATGCAACGTGTAAAAATGCACTTTGAGAATAACAAGAAAAGATAGGAAGATGAGTGAATTAGGAAGAGCACATACAAGACTCTGCTATGCCATTGTTTAAATGAAGAAGTTGAACTTTCAATGAGCAGGACAATTTTCAAGGAGAACCGATCATTGCTGGATCATAGAGATAGTAGACAGGGTTTTACGAGAAAATAGATGACCAGATGAAGCAAGTAGTTAAATGAAGATCGAAGAAAATGGCAGAAAACAAGAGTCCATGTCGAAGTCTTAGGGGACTTTCATCAGGCAATGGATAGACAAATGCCGACGATTATGATTTGTCCCAGCTGTTAAACTTAAGAACAGTTAAGCTTTTAGGTTCTCTTTATTTGAAATCATTATGACGTTCAAAATATGCCAAGTGATGATCTGTTAACTTTTTAAACAATGTACTTTCTATAATTTTTCATATCTGTTCCTCGGTTGAAAATCGTGTAGCATGCCCACAACCCGAGAACGGCTGGTGCAACGATGCTGCCGATGCAAGACTGTCAGAGGTTGTGAGATTGAAGATCATCCAGTTTGAATGCATGCTTTGCGGTTGAGATACTTCTGAGTGATCTGATATGTACGTTTTAGAAAACTCAAAATGACACCAATAAA